TCAGAGCGAGAGAAATTCGACAAAGCATGGAGCAGGGCTGGCACAAGGCAGCATGAGGACGGTCAAATATCGTGTGCTCCACATCTGCGCGCCTGGCAGCAGTGCAGCACCTGAGGACAACACGTGACTATTGACAGGATTGGTGCGAGGCAGCATGGGTAGGGTCAGAGGCGCAGCTCCACGTCAACACGCCTGGCAGCACTGCAGGGCGCATGTGAGTCCGCGGGGCTGGGGGGCGGCGCCCCTGTGCTGCTGCCCACGGCATCCACTCTGCTCCTCACACCGCCCCTGCTCTCCCACATGCCCCCCGCCTGCAGAAAAGCACCGGGGAGGGGAAAGCCATGGATGAGGCAGTTGGGCACTGCGGCTGCAGTGAGCGTGGACATCTCAGGAGCGCTGTGAGCCGGGCCATCAAGGAATGGCGCTTCCCTGCCTGCTCCACCCCTCCACAGCCCTCTCTGCTTCCTGCTCCACCTGCTTCCACACCTCCACCTGCAGCTGCCACCATGCCCACACCAAACTGCTCCGACCCATTCCGTCCATCCGCCTCTCCGCCACCACCTGCTTGCTTCTCCTCCGCACGACCCCCCCTGCTGCTCCGCCCTGGCAGCCTCCTGCAGCTGCAGCACGAGGCGCAGCGCCACACACGACAGTGACAGCGCCAGTGCCGCCGTGCTGCTGTTCCTGCCCCGCGCACCCCCCTGCCTCTCCACCCTTCCCGCACCCTCTCTCATGCTCCCACTCTCCCCTGGTTCTCGCACTGGCTGTCGCCGCGTTCCTGGGTGCAATTTTGGCTGGTAGTGGGGGAGGTGGTGACTGGCGCGAAAGCGGAGGTGACACCTGGGGCAGGCGCGGAGGGTTGTGGGGGAAGTAAGGAGGCTTCGGTTTGAGGGCCATGAGTAGGGGGTGCGAGAAGGAGACGTGGCGTGGTAGGGAGGGCAGGGGGCTGTGAGGCAAGAGGCGGTGAGGCGGAGGGGAGAGCTGAACGCAGGGAGAGCACGGTTAGGGGACTGCGCGGTGCTGTGCCCTTGCTGTGCTGTTGCTGCTGTTGCTGCTGCTGCGTTGCTGCTGTGCTGTTGCTGCTGCTGCTGCTGTTGCTGCTGCTGCCGTTGCTGCTGCTGCTGTTGCCTGCTGTGCTGCTGCAGGTGCTGCTGTTGCTGCTGCAGGTGCTGCTGTTGCTGCTGGTGATGCAACCGTTGTTGCTGCTGGTGCTGCTGATGTTGTGTTGCTCTCGATGCTGCTGTGCTGTTGCTGTTGCTGTGCTGCTGCTGGTGCTGGTGCTGCTGTTGCTGTTGCTTGCTGCTGGTGCTGCTGTTGCTGTGCTGCTGTTGGTGCTGCTGTTGTGTTTTGCTGCTGCTGCTGCTGCTGCTGCTGCTGCTGCTGCGCTGCTGCTGCTGCTGCTGCTGCTGCTGCTGCTGCTGCTGCTGCTGCTGCTGCTGCTGCTGCTGCTGCTGCTGCTGCTGCTGCTGCTGTGCTGCTGCTGCTGCTGCTGCTGCTGCTGCTCTGCTGCTGCTGCTGCTGCTGCTGCTGCTGCTGCTGCTGCTGCTGGCTGCTGGCTGCTGCTGCTGCTGCTGCTGCTGCTGCTGCCGTTGTAGCTGCTGTGCTGCTGTTGCTGCTGCGCTGTTGTTGCTGCTGCTGTTGTTGCTGCTGCTGTTGTTGCTGCTGCTGTTGTTGCTGCTGCTGTTGTTGCGTGCTGTTGTTGCTGTTGCTGCTGCAGGTGCTGCTGCTGCAGCAGTCGCAGCAGCAGCAGCTGGTCATCTCGCTGCAGCCCTTGACCCACGGGCATCTCATCCGCCACAGCCTCCTCCCCAATCGCCTCTTCCTTTACCACCACCCCTCTCCCTGCCCTCGACCCTATACCCCCGCCCGCCACTCCCCCAGCTGTCACACCCCAGCCGCCACCCCACCAGCGGCCACCCCCTCCGCCGCCACGCCCCCCAGCCGCCGCTCCTCCGTCGCGGGGGCTGTGCTCCGCCTGCAGCTGTCTCCGCAGGGCGGCCAGCTTCATCTCCGCCTCCGCCTGGCGGCAGCAGCGCGGGCGCGCGCCTGGGCGGCGGCGGCGCGCTGCTTGCTCCAGCTGCGCCTCCAGCTGCCGCACCGCTGCTGCCGCCTCCACCTCCCTCCTCGTCGCCTCCTCCTGCTGCCGCCCGCAGCGCCTCCACCCGCGCTGCCACCACCGCGTGTGGCGCCGCTGACCCTGGCGGCGCTGAGCGTGGGGCATGCGCTGCATGATCAGGAAAGGTGCCTCGGGTTGTCGCCTCTGCCTCTAGTGGTGCTGCTGCTGCTGCTGGGATGGGAACTGATGATTTGTGTGATGCCTGCCTGGGCTGTGCTTGCGCTACCACCTGTGCTGCCTGCTGCTGCCTCTGCCACTGTGCCTGGCCCTGCCGCACCAACCGTTGAGGCGCTCCCTCTGCTGCCTGAGCTGCGGCCTGCCGTCGCCACTGCTCCCATCGCACCGTCCTCGTGCCGTCTCATTGCTCCCATGGGGTGTCCATCACCCGTCGGTGCGCCCGACGCTTCTTGTGTTCGCTGCTGCGCTGCTGCTGCTGCTGCTGTGAAGGTGGCCGCTGGACTCTTTCGCTGCTGTGGAAGGCTTGGCGGCTGCGGTGGGGCTCAGCGGCTGCTGTTGCTGGGTTTGTGTGGCGCGGTTGTTTGCAGCCACTGCTGCAGCAGAGGCATGGAGCAATCCACGCCAAACGCCTGCCGAGGCCCCCCTCGCCCCCCCACCCGCCGCTGCCCCACCCCCTCCGCCGCCCCAATCCGCCCCACGGGTGCAGATGCTGTGCGCCCAAGCGGCCGCGGCTGCCCGTCAGATGCTTCTGCCGCCTCTTGCTGCTTGTCGTTCCGCAAGCCAATCCCCCGCTCCACCCTCCCTGCCCACTCCAGATATTGCTGCTGGCACCGCTGCTGGCATGGGCGCGGCATGGGTGTGGGCATGGGTGCAGGCATGGGTGCGGGCATGGGTGCGGGCATGGGTGCGGGCATGGGTTGCGGGATGGGTGCGGGCGGCATGGGTGTGGGCAGAGGGGGCGACACGGCTTGCCTGCCCTCTTGAGCGGCCTCCGACACTCCTGCCGTGTCTCCCCACACGCCCCCTGCTCCTGCCGCCCCTGCTCCTGCCGCCCCTTGCTCCTGCCGCCCTTGCTCCTGCCGCCCCTGCTCCTGCCGCCCCTCCTCCTGCCGCCCCTGCTCCTGCCGCCCCTGCTCCTGCCGCCCCTGCTCCTGCCGCCCCTGCTCATGCCACCCTTGCTCCCGCCACCCTTGTCCCTGCCCCTCCGTGCTGCCCCCTCCAGCTCTCCCCCCTGCCGCCATGCCAGGTCCGTCAGCGCACTCCCCATGCGCACTCTGCCTCTCGCGCACCCCACTCCTGGAAGCATTGAGCCGGGTTGTAACGCGGCACTGCCGCTGTAAGGCGGACAGGGCCTGTGGCTGTAACGAGGGTTGGCGCTTTAAGGAGGACATGGCTTGTGGCTGTAATGAAGAATGTCTGGTTGCTTCAACGAGAATTGACGCTGTAAGGGGATTGTCGCTGCAGCGAGGATACGTTCTGTGATTGTAGCGAGGATATTTGTTGCTGCGGAAACGCAGCCAGGGCCCCGCCGTGCTGGTCTGGAAGAGCGTTGGGCGGCGGCGGAGGGGGCTGCAGGGGCAGGTGGGAGGGGGAGCAAGGGGGCGCGCGGAGGGCTTGGAGTGGGCTGTGCGCGGGTTTGAGAGCGGCAGCCGCCGGTCGCCATGTGGCGAACGCTTGTGAGGGTGGGAGGGAGGAGGCGTGCGGGAGTGAGGAGTGGGAGGCGGAGAATCCAACAGGAGCCGACAGTTGGTGCATCAGAGGGGAACGCTGCTGCTGCAGCTGCTGCTGCGGGGGCGGCGGCGGCAGTGCCGGCGCCTGTGGTAGTGGCAATGGCGGGGGCGGCGGCGGCTGCTGGTAGTACTCCTCCTCTTCCCCCCACTCCCGATCTTCCCCCGTTCTCTCATAAAACACCTCCCCCTCTTCCCCGTCGTCCCCTTCGCCCCCCGCGGCCCCCGCGCCCCCCTCGCCTGCCGCCTCCCCTTCCCTGCACAGGCTGAGGCCGAGCGGGGCGGCGGGCGCGTCGTGGTTGTGCGCGCCGGTGGTGGAGACGCGGATGGGGTGGCGGGGGTCCACCTTGTTGTAGTCCACGATGCGCTTCGCCTCGCACGCAGCCGCCGAGTCCGCCGCGTTGCACTTGAAAGTAGTGCCTGCGCCCACAGCACGCGAAGCGGGGAGCGCGCCAGCAGAGCGGAAGGGGAGGGGGCAAGAGGGAAGGGCGTTACTAGTAGCTATAAGGTGAGGGATGGGAGGGGGAACGAGGGGAAGATGGGAACGCAGAGCGGCACTGGGATGAGCGACGAGGCACGGCGCCTTTCAAAGGGGACATGTGAAGGGCCGCGTTGGGCCGGAAGATGTCAGGAGCGCGCGGGGGATCTGCGGCAACAAGCATGGCAGCGGCATGGCAAAGTCGTGTGGTGTTATGCGTTAGCGCGGTGCGAGCGACGATACCTCGTCATTGTGTGCGACGATATCCTGTCATTGTATGTTCCCGTCCCGTGTTGTGTGCGACGATACCCCGTCGGAAGTGCGCGACGTACCCAGCCATGGTGTGCGACAATACCTCGTCATGGTGTGCGACAATATCGCGTGATTGCGTGCGACGATATATCGTTGTGTGCGAAGATTGTGTGCGACAATATCCCGCCATCGTGCGACGCACCTCGTCATGGTGCCGCCCGACAGCTCCTTCTGGCCGTACTTGAGCCACACGAACCCGTCGCGCGGCAGACGGCTCTCGAACAGCACCAGCTTGCACCGCTTGCGCGGCCGCTTCCCGTCCGCTCCGCGTTCCGCCAGCCGCCTCGTGCCTCCCGACTTCTTCCCCACCGAAGCGCCTTCTTCCATCGACCCGTTGCCGTCGCCGGTTCCCGCGCTCGTCACCGCCGACTTCCCGCCGCCTCCCCTCGCTTCGCCGCTGCCTGTTCCGAAACCCGTCGCGGCGCCGCTTTTATCCGCCGCCGCTCCACCGCCAATCGCCGCTCCACCGTTAATCGCCGCTGCACCGCCATTCGCCATGGCACCGCTATTCGTCGCACCGCTATTCGTCGCACCGCTATTCGTCGCACCGCTATTCGTCGCACCGCCATTCGACATCGTCATCATCATTGTTTAAGCAGGGCATCCCATCAAAATTTTCCCATTCACGTCGCCGATTGTTCCCAGGTTTCCCTCGCCTCGCTTTGAGATCCACTGTGTCTCCCGCACGTTCGCGAAGGTCAAACCGCCTAAGGTGTAAGGCAGCTGACGTACGTGATTAACGCGCAACCATGAGTCGTCCCACGAGACGGAGCGCTGCAAATGCTCGCCGCAACGATACTACCGGCTATGGGGATGCAGGTTTTTGACCTGCTGTCAGCGATCTGTGTTGACAGTAGAATGAACCGCACGCCGCGCGAAACGATTTACGAAATAACACAGAAGAACTTCTTCCGACTTTATTGTTTAGAAGGTGAAGGTGGTAGTATATGGCAGAGGAGGCCACACAGTGCCCTAGTCCAGAGTCCAGCAGCGAGTCCAGGGTCCAGAGTCCAGACCAGATGGCACCGCGGCACTTGAAGGGAAGCGATTCAGGGAGGTCCAAGGTCCAGGCGGGGGGAGCAGAGCAGAAGGGAGAGGCGTCGGGGGAGAGGGGAGGCATCGGGGGAGAGGGGGAGGAATTAGTGGACTGGAAACTGGCCCGGCTGGATTACTTTAAGCAAGAGCGTGTCACATATGAGCCGATCGGCCGTAGATCAACGACCATTTTGCGATGCTTTCTGTTCGAGAATGAACCTGAATTTCAGGTTCTTGAACCCTCCTGTAACAGAGTCGAGTGTCCGATCTAGTTCAACTATCCAATGCACATGTTACTTATGAAAACACCGAGCTTTAGCATCACAGCATTTCTGACGAGATCCGAATGATTCGCGAAACCTCGATTTGAGCTTCCATCTGTCTATATATCAGGAAAAGTTACACGCCTTGAATGAGGGGGATGAGGGGCGGGGGGTTGGCGAAAAGAAGTCGGTGGTGGGGAGAGGGGGGGGAGGAAAAGGGGCGGGATCGTAAATTCGTGAGGTAGGCGCCACGATGAGGGAGGCCAAGCGGGGATTACGAGGAAGGAGAAAGGAAGTGAGGACGAACTGTTTTGGGGGACAAAGGTGAAAAAAAACCGCTGGTAGAGAAGCGGAAGTGCGAAGGCGAGAGAGAGACCAACCATAGACAGGTAATCTTGTCCATGGCACTGGAAAACCACAGTCCATATGTCCGCCACGTCAGAAACGCTCCGAGGCTCAGAAGATTCCCGCCAATGGCATTTCTCAGAGGTTAACCACTGTCTTGAAATATGCGTAGACCTCTGAAGCAGTTTCCTTCTGTATTTTTTTTTTCGAAATTTGGGCACCTCAAAACTTAAAAGAAACGAGACCTGGCACCCACGATTCCCGCCCCTCCGCTCCCCCCCCTCCTCATCCACCTCCCGCTTCTCTCCAAAATCCACACAACACGAAGACCCAAAATGGTCAAAGGACAAGGGTTGACGAGGACCCAACTGACGAAGGCGGCAATTGCTGGTTCAGTTCAGAGAGACCAGTCCCGATCCAGAACAAAGCTGGCAACTGAGGTGGGCTCGCTGTGGCCGAGGGTTTACAAAAAAATGTCAACGCTCGGTCTAGTACGAGTGGGATGGATGGAATGGGTTGTTAGAGTAAGGTAGTTTAAGGGTGACTCTAAGGATAATTGTTATGAGTTGTAAAAGAGAGTGCGCAGGTAAACGAATAACGAAGCTGTGACTGAATCAACTGCGAATACAATGAATGCACAGACTAATGTAGGACTACTCTAGCTAGGAGGAAACCTCGGACGAGCGAGGTTGGGTGCAGGTTTGGCGATGGGAAAGCCGAAGGCGACGTGAGTAGCCTCGGCAGCGTTGAAATCGGCCGAACGTGCGAACTCCGAAAATCGGGTTGTACGCGAAGCAGTCAACCCCGATAAGGAATCCGGGAAAATTCCTTACACCACCCCCCCCCCCCCCCCCCCCCCCCCCCCCCCCCCCCCCCCCCCCCCCCCCCCCCCTTAAGAAAGCTAGTCAATGGCCGAAACACGCCGTCGCGCTAGATAATCACCAACAAGTGTCGAGGCGTCCATTGAAGCGGATGGCACCCACGTGTCGTCCTCACTGGTGCGGTCGGTCCAGCGAATTAAGAAATCCATGTGGCGTCCAGCGGCGTCAAGGCGGATTCGATGAGCGAGAATCTTGGAAGGGTCAAGTGTTGGCTCCGGGACGGGGCGAGCTGTCGGGGCCGCTTGCTGACGTGCGATGTCGGTCGTGGTAGGCACGAACTTCCGAAGAAGGCTGATGTGGAACGCGTCATGTATACGCCAATCGTTGGGTAGCAACAGCTTCGCGGGTGACAGGTGTCACCATCTTGAGGATTTTGAACGGTCCGCAAAATCGTGGCCGAAGTTTTGCAGGGCCGGGCATGTTCAGGTTTTTCGTGTCGAGGAGGACTAGTTGCCCAGTAGTCAAGACGAGTTCCCGGCGAAGAAGGTTGGTGTATTTGCGGGAAGTAATATTCGCTTTGCGAATTGCGTCGGCGGCTTTTGTGAAACAAGTGAACAGGAATGAGAATGACTAAGGAAAGATTGGGTACAAATACAACCCTAGAAACCCTGTACCCCATATGTGCTACCCCACTATAGCCTACAGCAAATATGTCATATAAATCTGACACACCCCCATAGGCAAAGTGGGGGAGAGCAAGGGGTCACAAGACCAGTCAAGTAAAGCAAAGCAGAGCAAGCTCAGGGTGGATCACAAAGTCACCACACAGTCCGAGCACAAGAGCAGGGCCAGAGGCCAGTTCACATGCAGGAGTACAGACATATATATAAAACTAGACAAACAAGAGCAGGTATATATACCGTCACCCCCCGGATATAAGCGCCACCCTAGGATAAGCGCCTGGCGCTTCTAATTGGCATATGGCGCTTATATCCCCTCCTCGATTATAAGCGCACCCCCTGAAAAAACTAGTTTTATTATAAGCGCACGTAAACTTTAAAATTTGAAATGTGTACAAAACGTTGTAATGATTTTTACTTTAGCAGGCAGATATGTTGCAGATTCGGTTCCCTTCACATTCGGACCCTGCACTGGATGCGGGTCCAGTCAGCAGGAGCTGTCAGGAGCTGGATGTGAGTCAGATTGGGTGTGTCTCCCAGCTGCGCGCGAGAATTTCACAGACGACCCCATGTAAATTCGACTCGATTGAAAGGGCAAGCACGAGACCTACAGTTTGGTGTTAAAAAATATAAAAAATATGAATGTCATTTTATAAACGCCGGCGCTTATAAATTTACTCGATTATAAGCCCACCCCCTTGAAAAAACCTGTTTTATTATTGCCCCCCATGGGGGTATATCCGGGGGGTGACGGTATGTCACAGTACAAGTGAAGTCAAGAGGAGAGCAAGTGAGGTAAGACAGGTACAAGACCCAGCTGGGTACAAAAGCGCAGATGGTCACAAGGCGCGAGTGCCTTGGTGAACACATCAGCAGTGTTGGCCTCAGAGGCCACGTACGCAAGTCGCAACTGACCACGCTGCTGTAGCTCACGAGCAAGGAAGTAGCGGAGAGCAATGTGCTTCGTTCTGTGCTCCAAGCGCTGCTCTCGACACAAGGCCAGCATGGCCTTGTTGTCTACGTACAGCACTGGAGGAGAACGAGGCGGCTCTCCAAGGTCAGTCAGCTGGTAGGTGAGCCAGCGAAGCTCCTGTGCAGCCATGGCCCCGGCGTAGATCTCAGCCTCACAACTGGAGCCGAGAACCGAAGACGAGCGAGTAGACCGCCACGAGACAGAGCCGGAACCAAGGCTGAAGGTGTAACCCTGTGACGACTGCTGAGTAGCCTGGTCGTCAGCCCAAGAAGCGTCCGCGTGGCCGATAAGGACCACTGGACTCCGCCCTCCAAGCACTAGCCCCATGCCCGACGTACTGCACAGGTAGCGCAATACCTTCTTCGCTGCAGCCATGTGCTTTGGTCTGTGTCTCCCAGGAGCAACATAGCGTGCAAGAATGCTCAAAGGTATGCAAGGTCAGGTCGTGTGCAGGTCATCAGGTACATGAGGCAGCCAACAAGCTCTGCATACGGACCACTCGACTCTACGGACTCATCCGAAGGCAGAGCTGAGAGTGAGTGGCGAGTAGGCAGAGGAGTGGCCTGAGGCGAGGAGTACGTGAAGCCGAAGCGCTGAAGGACCTGCTGCACCATGTGTGACTGAGTCAAGGTAATGGTGCGGCGTGCTCTGTCCCGAGTGATCTGCAAGCCAAGGTAGCTGCGTAGTTCACCCAGGTCTGTGCACGTGTGTCTCTTCAGCAGCTCGGACTTCACGTAGGCGAGTCCAGCAGTGTCCGCTGTGGCAAAGACCAAGTCGTCGACGTACACGAGGATGTAGAACGGCGGCAGGGAAGTGTCGGTGCGAAGAAACAGCGACGGGTCAGCAGTAGAAGGAGCAAACCCAAGAGCCGCAAGCGTAGTCCTCAGTGTGTCGTGCCACTCACGCGGTGCCTGGCGGAGACCGTAGACTGGCCGTCGGAGGCTCCACTGGGTGCCAGGAGGGAAAGTCCCAGTGAAGCCAGGTGGACGGCGAAGCCAGATCTCCTCGTGCAGGCTACCCTGCAAGAACGCAGTGCTGAAGTCGAGAGAGTGAAGCTCGTAGTCGCGCTGAGCGGCTATGTGCAGCAGCACCCGAAGAGTGGTCATCTTCGGGGTGGGAGAGAAGGTCTGAAAGTAGTCAACTCCGTGCCGCTGACTGAAGCCACGAGCAACGTACCGTGCCTTGAAGACAGGTGGAGAGCCCGGCGGCTGCTTCACCCTGAAGATCCACATGCCACTGACGATGTTCGCCCCAGGAGGGGGAACCGCGTCAACGTAGGTGCCTGTGGACTTCCAGGAAGCCATCTCTGCATCCATAGCTGCCTGCCACTGAGAGGAGTAGGGACCCTCTACGGCCTCCGCGTAAGAACGCGGAGTCGGGA